AGTCACTTAGCATAACCCCCCCCACCCTCTCAGGTGTCTTCCCTATGCTGGGAAGAGAACACAGCCTTGGGGAAGGGCCATCACCCCACCCCAGCCAGGGCCTTTACTAATACAAAAGGGGTGATAAGCTACAATGACCCGTGATTACAATAACAAAGCACACAGAACCCTGCAGAGACAGATCTGGCTGCCTTTTTGTAACTTTTTCTCACAAAAAAAATATTGACCGAATTTTTGTTCATAACATTCAAAAGGTGAGAAGACAAAACTACATCAATTGTGCAAAATATGCTTTACCCTCTAAAATTACTGAGGCAGGATTTCTATTTGTTACAATAAAATTGCATTTCAGAGGAGTTAACTGTTAACTACATTGTCATTTAATTATGTCAAACACTAATGCTGAATCTTTCAACAAATACTTTCAAGAAAATTATTGGTTAATGTAGCTATTTAAGTGAAACATTTTCACCTTTTGTTTTAATTAAGAAGAAAGAAAGAAAGAACCTCTTTTCACAGTAACGTCTGTATTTCTTTTTGTGGAGGAGGGTGATGTTTTTCTCTCTTTTCAAAACTTTTGTGGTTGGACTTTACTGTGAATACATTTGAAAGCTGCCCTTAATGCCATTCCTTACTTCAGAACTAATTGCTTCATTGTGTAAACATTCCTGACACACAAATAAAATCAAGGGTCTTTTGCATGTCATCTGCAAACCAGGCACAGGAGCTAATGGAAGAGCTGCTGTTTCTAGCCTCGGAGATAGATGGGCCTTTTTTGCGTGACTCACCACTGCTTTTATTGTAGAGAATTTTTTTCTGTTCAAATTACTCTAACATGCAAACCTAGCATCACTATTTCAGAGTTTATAGCACAGCTGTTTATAATAGATTGTCCTATTAAACAGAAAGTTAACTCCAGTATGCATCCAAAATGTAGAAAACAAAACAAAACCACAAAAATAATGTATCAGGGAAGCATCATAAAATGATATCTCTACTTGGAGGAGCAAGCACCACATCTGCCAAGCAGAAATGAAGCAGTTGCTTTCTCCTGCAAGCATTACCTCAGCCTCTTCTGGACAGATAGGCTTTTATCCATATCTCCATCTTCATGAGTCACTGTATAAACTGTTTGGCTGCCCTAAGCTGGACTCAAGAGCGAGAAATACAAAGAGCAGGTGTCAGCACACAGCGGGAAGCCAGTGCTCAGCTCCACAGTCACCTTCCTGGAGGCACTGCCCCACCAGGAGGGCAGTGACCAGCAGGATCCTTGGCAAGTGCCACACCAGAGCCTCTCCTGACCAGAGGGACACAGCTCCTCAGACAGACCCTGCCACCAGGCGTGGCTGGACCAAAAGCAGTCAAGGAATTCATGGTTTACCTCGGTTAAAAGCAGGTCAGTAGATGGCACTGCCCTGGGCAGCACCTGGAATTAACGACGTGGCAACAGGCAGTTAAGTGTTTCAGCTACTGTGTGGAGGAGATTTTCACCCAGCCTCTCCACCAGACACTCCAAAACCAGGTGATCTGAGGTGATCTGAGGTGAGTGAAGGACTGAGTGATTGTCAGTGATTGTCTCCCATCTCAAGTCACCAGGCCTTAAGTATTTCTAATGGTTTCACATCTTTCAAGAGATCTTAGTCATGCAATGATTGCATTGTTTGAATCAGTTTATTCTAGTCATGACAGGACACATCCCAATTTACATATTATTTTGTGTTCCCAGCTCTCTCATTAATGCTTAATGCCTCAATTCAGCCATCAATCCCCACTCAGCAGAACGATTCAGCTAAGTACATATTTAAATTTAAGCACATTCTTAAATGCTTTGCTGAAATGAAGCAGTCTTACAAACATGCTGACATGCTTTGCTGAATTGGATTTTCATACATACAAGAATTCACATGCTGTAGGCACCTGGGAGAGGAGCCTTCCTCTTCCTCATGTGCATTCATGTCCCAGTGCCTGGCTTGTGAAGGACACAGCATTCTGTAATGTTAAAGCATTGGGTTTGTTTGATTCTTTCAAGCGATCTATTTCAAACTAAAGTTTAAAAGGTAACTATGATTGAAGATCTCTGCTGATAGTAAACTGGTCACATTTAGGTAATGCCTGATCATTGACATTATTCAGATCTCAAAGGAGGGGAAAAGGAGTAAACTTTCACACAGATGTAATTTTGTCTCTGGTAGGCCACCTAGTAGAGATAAAAAACAAACAAACAAAAAACCAAAAAAACAAACAAATGCCAAACTAATAAAATCTACTGACACAGTACATGAAATGTACTGACATTTGATTTCTCAAACTGGGATATTTGCCTTTGTCCAATGGAATTCTTTCAACTTTTTGTATGGAAAAGTTAATAATACGTTGCTCCAGGATTCAGTTTGGCAGGTGTGAGGGAAGGATTCTTATTTTCGACTTTCCTTTTCAAGCTCTTTTACCCATTCCTTCCTACATGAGAATGAATATACCCTCCAGCAGCTGTAGGGGAAACATACAATTCCTATAGACACGTGTTTATTGCTGCTAGTAATGGTGGAAGCTGTAGTAGACTCACTTGCTTTAATGACTGTTTCATACATACTTTTGCTTAAGTATTAAAAAATCTTATAAAGCACTTGTTTTTAAAACTGTAAATATCTGAGAGATGTTAGCACTTGCCTTTACAAGACAACTGTCACCAGCAAGAGCTCTTACATAATCTGTTTACCTTACAAGGCATCCAAATCTCCCAAGGTATCCAAATCTTTTCTTGAATATGGGATGGGGGAGCTGAGGGCAGACAGTAATCTGAACGGGCAATTTTGTGCTAAAGACACTCCTTACAACGTTTTGGAGATTACCTCAAAGTTTGGTTTAAATTTGTCCTAGTTATGGGTGAAAGTCAGAGGAAGGAAGCTTTTTTTTGTACACCTTTTAATTAGTTCAACCATACTCCTAATTTTATTCCAAATCTTTTTTCAGTCAAAGTGCATGTTCATTATATACTCTGTAATTTTATGCAAGGAGTATGTCCATGACAGCAATAAAGAGCTTTGCAGCTTTCAGCTTATGCAAGAATAAAGACTTAGTACAGCTTGACCTAATCTATATCCACCAGTCCTATCGGACTGGTTTAAGTTGAAGAAACTGATTTCAGGTTTTCAACCAAATTCTTCTAACAGCCTGGCATTTAAAGTCAGAATCTCCCTTCTCTCCTATTCACTCTCCCTCCTGCCAAAAAAGAAAAAAAAAAAAAAAAAGGGAAAAAAAAGCACATGTTAAAATTATCTGAATTATCGGAGAGGTGAAGAGTCATTTTTGGAAAAAAATGGGAAAGCCCCAATGAAATAAAAGTGTGTCAAGGCCTCAACAGCACACAGATCTGTCTATCTCATTATCTGCAAACTGGGCAGGAAAAATGCTGTGACCTAATTGGTATCTCTCAAGCCATGGACAGTAACTGGAGAGGTTTTTTGTGCAGCATTTACTTCTTTTCACCAAAACCTATCTGAGTATGAGGTGCTGTCCAGGGGCTTTCTCATCTGTTTCATTTCCCTTATTTCAGTCTGTTACCACAGTAATATTCTATTTATCATTCTTCAGTTTTAGCTGAGTTGTAAATGGTTTTTGGGATTTTTCCTGCTAAGGTGTTTCTGGACCTAGGGAACTTCCCTGTGTAGAGTTTCAGACAGTCCCAAAAAGTCAGTTGTTGGCCATGAACCTTGAGAACTAAGAGCGGGGCTCAGAAGCACATGCAAACACATAAGCAAGCCATGTGTTGGAAACTGGAGATGAGGTTTCCTCTTCCTCAGGTGCAGGGGCACTGCTCTGAGTGCAGAAGGGACAGGCACACCTGAACTGGCAGTGAGTGTCCTGGGCAGCACCTGCTGCCAGAGCTGCTGCAGAAGCTCCACGAGTATTCATATGGCAACACCACACAAGCCTCACAGCTCTGCAGTATCACTGTTGTTAGTTCTTGCAACAGCTACTCCAACCTGAAAAGCTTTTCTCTCCAGTATTTGCAGGAGTATTTGCTGTCTAAATGTCCCACAGAGGAGGTCAGTAGACTGCAGACAAACAAAATCAAGACCAAAAACTGCAGCTACTGGAGGGAAGCTCCCACAATCAGCCATTAAGCACAGTTATTGATGGCAGACTGGGCTGGTTACAATGCATATACTAACACTAACCTGTGCTTTGGGCAGACAGCATTTTCAAGGCTTTGGTTCAGGGGCCCTTGTGTGAGCATCATCTTCCCATGGGCTTCTCAACACAGCATGAGGCTTCACAGATTCAAAGCAACCTGTACCATACATGACATCTGTGTGCACTGCTCCTCAAAAACAAGGTACATCAAGGGACCAGAAAACCAGTAACCTGCCACTTTAAATTCCCTTTCCTGGCGTCGTGCTCCCTACCCCCACTTTAATACCGCTGTCTACCAACGTGTAGGCTTTGGTCATACTGTCATAACGAAGGAAGCAAGCCAGTCTGTGTCACACATGGGGATTTCAGGAAGCTAATTAACAGGAGGGAGCTGTGGGAGTTTCTGAGAAGCTGAGCTCTGATGTAACCCAAAGCCATGGACTAGTACGCTTTTAGATGCTCCAGCCATACATAATTTATGTTTGTCAGTCACATGGCAGCAAAGCTCATTTTGCATAATGGATACTTGTGATGGAAAAGTGCTTACAGGGTTTCAGCAGAGGAGACAGACCTTTCATCTATCTGTATCAAAGAGAAATTAAACAATTATGGGAGTTTGCAGCATCCCTGTTGAAAACTCTGAAAGAAATGCTTTAAAGATGTGCAAAACCTTCTAGGATGGCACTTGTGATCACAGAATCGTGGAATCATAGAATGGCCTGGTTGGAAGGGACCATAAAGATCATCGAGTCCCAACCTCCCCTGCCATGGGCAGTGACACCTTCCACGAGACCAGGCTGCTGAAAGCCCCATCTAACCTGGCCTTGAACACTTCCAGGAACGGAGAATCCACAGCTTCTCTGGGCAACCTCGGCCAGTGCCTCGCATCTTCACAGTAAAGAATTTTTTCCTAACACATAATCCAAACCTATCCTTAGTTTGAAGCTATTCCCTCTTCTCCTAGCTGATACTCAGAAGTAGCGCCGCACGATCGGCTTTCCGATTTGGACAGAATTCCTTTTCTCGCCTTCAGTTCTTACAAAAAAACCCCAAACCCGTCAGGCGGCGGAGCAGCGGGCGGGTGCCGGGAATGCCGCGTGGCGCCCGCCCGAGCTCCCCGGAGGGCGCGGACGCCGCTGCGGAGCCGTGCGGGGCGGGAGGGCGCGGACACCGTGCGGGGCCCTGCGGGCCGGGCCGCGCGGGAGGGTCGCGGCAGGGTCGCTGGGCCGCGCGGGGCGGGCGTTACCGCCGTCCGTTACCCGCCGGCCCCGGCCCCGGCCCCACCATCGCGGTCCCAATGGAGGACGCGGAGCCGCAGCCCGTCCCGGAGCCGGCCGACATGGCTTACTTCGGCCCCACCTCCCTCACGTACCTCCCCGTCCTGCAGTGGTGGGTGCTGGCCCTGCCCGCCGCCCGGGGCTGAGCATGGAGCGGGGAGGCGGTGCGGCTGGCTGGGCTGGCCCGGGGGGCTGGCAGGAGCTGCCTCCCACAGGGAGTGCGGGACTCCCGCTTTGAACTCTTCTCGCGGTTTCGTAGGGCAAGAGTGTGGCTTGCCGCAAAGGCTCCGTCATCATGGTGATGCATAAACGGTACCAAGCAAGCAGGGAAATTTCCCCAAAAGACCACCTAGTGCCTCGAGCCTTGGTGATACAGAGGTGGTTTGACGTGGGGGAAACGGGACTTTGTGCCAGTCTGCCCGCTGGCTGGGATGCGGCCCCCGGCAGCGATCCATCCACGTGCTGGGATGGCTGCCGAGGGAGGATCCCCCCGGCTCCACCGCGTACTCTGCTGCCTGGTGCGCTCCTGGAGCACACAGGTGGCTGCGAGCAGGTGGTACACGGGCACTCGGGGTGATGCTGGATGTTCGACATTCTCCAAGGTTATTTCTTCTTGAGCAGAAGGTCGAACTCCTTAATGAGACACTTTGTGTAGTGGAGAAAGGTTGACACAACTGTTTTCTTGGGCTTTGAGAAGAGCATCCTCTGCCATGTGACAGCCACAGAGAAACCAGGATAACTTTACTTGTCTCCCCAAGCACAAATGAGTCCTGCTCATAAATAATGTTAAAGTGAAACAGTAACAGCACATACAAACTTTTAACTCATCAGCAAGTGATCTTAAATAATTTTACTGCCCCCATCAGTCATACCTGAGCAGTGGGAGTTAGTCTGTGTTTTCCCTGGGATGTAGATGCCACTGCTCCCATTTTGAAAGGACTGAAGGAAGAGATTCCTGCCAGGTCATTCATCCAACAGGTCTGAGACAGCATAAAACTGAATCATAAGCAATCCTTGAAAGGATGAACTAATGATTCTTTTCATCATGACAACCTTCATTTCATGTTTGGAAAAATTTTGAATGTTCAGCTTCATTTTACAGTTGGTGCATTTCCAGCAGCAAACCAGATTTTGCTCTAGAAATGCTTTAACAGCAGATTTGCCAACCTGTATGATGGCCTGGCTGCTAAAGGTTCACGTAGAATAGGTGGCAAACCCTAAACATTTGCAGTCTATGTGAGGTCCTAAAATCAACAGGATAAAAAACCCTTCAAAATGTGTGGATAGATAGTAGATGAATGGAGGAGGTCTTTCCCCCTGTGCTTTTTCTTTAACCTCTACCTTTCTGCCTTACCACACTTTCATTTTTATTTTTTTGTCTTTTTTTTCAAAGTTTTATTTTGGTGCATGCCATAAAAACTCAGGTTTTGAACACCTTGGGGCTAATAAGCAAGAAGAGGAGTGCTGTGCTCTTTTCTGTGCAGACTGCTTTCCTGATAGAAATATTTTTGTATTATGTGTCAGCACTAAGAAGGTGTTTGACTTACTATTTCAAAAAGACTGGCAGCTTAATAGACAAAAAAATTCACGAAATGGATTTCCCAAATACTTTGTCGCTAAGTAGTTAAATGCTGAGGAAAAACTATTGGCAGAAACCAGCTACTGGAGCATGAATTACTTTCTGATGCACTTCCAATGACTCTTGTGATGTTATGTTAAGGATAAATTTGAACTTAAGATTAATCTCCTCTGAGACTGCTCAATTGTGAAGAGTTTTGAGATGCTCTAGAAGAAAAAGCACTTCTGCCTGCTGGGAGGCAGGACTCATGTAGAATGAATTTCATTTACCTTTTAGCCTTTTAGATGATGGGAAATGCCCATTAGAGCAGCAGATCCCCTGTCTGGGTGCAGGTTCCTGCTCAGGTGTAGCCATGAAGCCTTTGCTGTTGGATGGTGGGGCTGGAGGTGGTGAGGAGCTGGCAGGGAGCCCAGCAGAGCCTCTTGGGTTGTGGGGTGAGGAGATGTCTTCAAGGAGGTGTAGGTGAGGCTTTTGGGGGTCTTTTGCTGGGGAGAAGTAAAACTGGGGAAGCAGATAGCATTCTTAGTGGAAAGAGGGGAGGAGGCACCAATAACAGGTGAGGTAAACATCATCAGCTGCTTGCTCAGTCTGTTCTAGCAAGCCAGTTTGCTGTAGACCTTCTCCACTGTCTTCTGACAAAGCAACTAAGATAAACAGCTGGGGTGCCTGAAGTGAGGGTACTAAAGCAGAGGATGCTGACTTGAAGTCCAGCTGACTTATCACACCCAGTGAATTGAAAAGTCTGCTTTCCCAATGAACTCAATTGTCAGTAAGGACCCAGTGAGTAACTGGCACTGTGCTGCACTGGCATTCAGCTGATAAATTAATTAAATATGCATAAATAATTTGCTAGAATGGAAACAGAGTCAGAGCAAGAAAGCGCCGTGATACGAGCAGTGTGTCATGCCTTGAAAATTAATCCCTCTGCCCCTTTGATTCAGCTTTGCTCCTGTATTTGTACTGTAGCCTGTTATCTTCTGACATCAAAACCATTGGCATTATTTCATAATTAAAGATCATTTTTCCTGATGAAAGTAATATCTTAGGCTAATAAGTAACCAAGTTTGCATTTCCCTCACCTTATTCACACGAGTAGTTGCATTTACGTGACTGTGACCATTCTGATTAGTAGGATGAATCAGAGAATTGGCAAAAGGATGGATATTTAAACAGCTAAGCCTGTTTCAGTCCTGGCAGTTCTGTTATATAGTAACTGTGAATTAAAGCTCTGTTCTCCTATTAAACTTGTCATAAAATCATGAAAACAGAATGTGATCCTTTATAGTTTGTGCACTCTGTCCCAAAACACCATATTTAACATTTTAGGTGAAAAAATGCTCATATTATTATTTTTGGTATAGTGGATACCCTTCTATTTAGAAGACTGAAGTTAGATCCTTTGATATAACAACATTTTGCATATGAGAAATTCTAATTCTGTCTGTATTGGTGTTAATGTTATAATAGTATTACTTAGTTGTATTGTTTTAATTTTAAAATTATGAGAACTAGTTAATTTCTTAGCAGAATCTCACATGACCTCTTTTACATGTTGAAAGCAAGGAAAATAGGGCTTTCAAAGTTAGAAATAAACAGAGAGTATACATGTACATATATATATGAAAAAGTATATTGTTTCCCAGGATACAGAATAACACAATGGAAGTAGCTCTTTTTGATTCTATGCTTCTATAAAAGCAGAATGACTGTTACAGAGTTCACTGAAAATCTGATAACTATAAAAATCTAACAATTCTTTCTTCTAACTCTGACAGAAACCAATTGATGATTTTTGTTTTAAAGGCTAGCTGATAATTTCTATTTGTGTGGAGGATGCACTGTACCCTGCCGGCTACTATATGAGCTGTATATTGAAACCTGCAATCCAGATTTCAAGATTCAAGTACATCCATCCACCTTTGGAAAGGTACAAGGTAGATAGGATATACAAGATTAGAAGTAGGGGTGCCTAAAGAGAAAGCCTGATCATCAACTTTACACACTGCATATCAAAAGAAATTAAATAACAAGGAACAATGACTATGTAGTGAATTATGCTTTTGTGTTTTCTAATGTATTTCTGCTAAGCATTCATGTAGATGCATTTGTACTAGAGGAAAGGGTATTGTTTGGGATGCAGTTTATTTTCTTCAGGGAACTGGTGCACGATACACTAGCAAAGATTTATTTTGCCAATGTATTTTAGAAAGTTTTACAGTTTTCTTTTTTTAACAGCAGAAAGTTATGCAACTCATTCCAAGGAGATGATTCTTCTGTCTTTAAAAGATACCTTTTGTTTTTACATAATTTTATACTTTCCCTTTTCAGTGTACTTGAGGAGATTTTGCTCCAAACATACCCTAAAAAGTTGCTACAGAATCATCCAAGCAAAACAAACACAGATGCAGAACTGAATCTCCTTCTAACAATTCCACTTTTCTGTTACATAGATGTTGATACAAGCCTTGGGACAATTGACACTTAGAAATCCAAATTGCAATCAACACCATAGCTATTCAACCTTTTTTAACAAATTAAGGAAGATGTTGTGATTATTTCTTGTTTAAGACTTCTTATTCAGACTTCAGAACTTCCTATTTTATATGGCTAACTTTCTGTTAATTTCCATAGTAAGAGCTACTAAGCATTGTTTTAACACAAGCCCAAAATAATTTAAGTACAAGTTGTACCTGAAGTCAATTTCATTTGTATAGCTAACCCCACTCTATGAATCATTTATCTCAATTCAGTTGAATCTAATTCTTTTACTGGATAAGTTAAATCAATTTTGCTGAAAATTAATATTTGAGTGAATGATCCAGTGTAATTTATTACCACAGCTTAATGGATCATCACCCATCAGCTAAGACCGTGGGTAGAATTTGCCTATGCTGGCTCAGCATAGACATTGGCCATGAAGCTTGTCACCTTAAAAATCTCTAGGTAGCCAATGGAGAGAAATAAGTAGCTACACGTTTCCTCACACTAATGAGTCAGCTCAGACAGCTCAGATGAAAGGGGCCTCTGCCCTGCCATTTGTTTTTCCCATTGACTGCAGCGAATATCTTAGACTCCTCTGCCTTGTAGCCATGTAGATGAGATTAATGCTATCCTCCTGTACGCTTGCAGTGCTCCAGCACGGCTGAGTTACCACCTGTAAGCCAAGCCTTGGTGTGGGTTACCTTAATGTGCTTGACTTTTAAGCTGGGACAGGCACAGATGAAGTGTGAGTTTGGTCACATGGGAGAGCTGAGCCAGAGCTGCTGTGGGCTGAGCTCACAGCCTCAACTAACCCAGTGCATTGCAGTGCAAGCTGGCACATCCCAAAGCAGCAGCCCAGTGCATTGCAGTGCAAGCTGGCATATCCCAAAGCAGCAAGTGCCTTGAAATGGTCTGGCCTTCTGTAGCAAGAGAATGGACTTGTAGCAAGAAGCCGAGTAGAGCAGGAACTGCAGCAATCCTGGTTTAACCTGAGTGCATGTGTAATCACTTGCCACAGCCTATATTGGGCTGAGCTATTAATAATTTACCAAGCTGTAGTAACCTGACTGTGCTCCATGTGTGTGGACTACAAGGGCTTTTGCAGTCCAGCCCCATGTGGATCAAACTATGGTGGTTGAAGGCACTGCTAGTCTCATCTGCCCTGTCCCTCTGCCCAAATACATCACTGTCTCTGTAAGGAATGGCCATGTGAGGAAGGATATGTGTTGTGCCACAAAAACCCCAGTTTCATAGGCTGTCTTTTTAGAAAAATGGGATTATGCTAAGCTATCAGTTTTGAGAAAGGGAGCAGCTGGGGTGGGTGCATGCAGAAGCATGCAATGAACAGGTCAATCATAAACCCTAGAGGTGCATGTTGATGGGTTCTTTATCAGGCCTTTGGACCAACAGCACACTGTGCAGAGTGCAAGCTTTGTGCTGCTGAGTGGAGACTCTCCTTGCTCCTCACTAACACAGAGTAAATCCTCTGTTCCTGCTATATTGGGAATATTAGAGTGTCCTGGGTTAGTCCTGGACCTGGGTGTCCTGAGTTAGTCTCTGTTAGTCTCAGGACAGCTCATGCAGAATAATCGTAGTGAAGTGGATTATAACCCTGACAGTATCTAATTACTCTGTAGAGCCCAGCCTTGGCAGATGCTGCATGACCTCAGTTCACACCACCACAGTGGTCAAAAGGTTGCTTTGCAGCTTGATGATTCTTGTCCTTTTAAGACAGATAAGTCTGGCCCTATCCTGTCAGTACACCTTCCAAGAGTACGTGGATAGGTGAAGCTTTGTGTAAGTCCTTCTTTAATGAGTAAGGCTTAAAGGTCTGGCAGGGTATGGGACCATCAGGGCACCTTCAGGTTCCCCCAGCTGGTTGATCCTGCCCTGGCTGCAGGGGGTCTCTTGGTGTGAGCACTGTTTTCTAGTGCAAACTATTAAAAAATTCTTACCTGAGAGAGGTAATCCTTTAAATTATTAAGCCTTGGATCCACACATGCCTGATTGAGTTTAGTTCAACAGTTACCATTTGAGAGGTATGTAAGAACAGGTAGCCTGGAAATTATGAAAAGCAAACAAAGTGATTAAAGACAAAAAAGTGTGCCAGATACATTTTTGGATCTTTGAAAGAATTTGCCAAGTATTTTTAATTTTCTGTTTGTTTATACAGCTTATTCAGTTAGTTTTCCCAGGTCTGGTGACAAGAAAGCGAACCACAGCAGGGAGCATCAGGTATTGGGTTTTTGTCCTTTCTTTGAAAATGTTATTTATAACTATTCTAATAAAATTTTAAAGTGAGTGACTTTTCAGCCCCAGCACTGTAGTATGGCAGCTGAATTGTTGATTGCAAGTCTGTAACACAACCCAAGATCCAGAGTAATTCATGGTGTAACCAAGGACATTAAAATAAAGTTAATTCCATGAAAACCACCAGATCAGATCTGTTTTGGTAAAGCATGAATTCCAGATTGGATTGCTTTTTAAATGACCTTAGTGCTCCAATTTTTATTGGCCATTAACAGCATGGTTTGCATGAAACATTTGCCAGACATCACAGCCTTACTGAGAGCTCTTCAGACACTGCATCTCTGGGCCTGGAAAGACTGGCCCTGGGATGCACAGGGGTGATGATTAATGATTAATTATTAATGATTAATGTCTATATTGTGCTTTTGTCCTTGCATACATCCATGGAGTGACCCAGCACATACTGATGGTCAATGGAGATATTGTACAGTTTCAAACCATTTAAATCAGACAGCTTCAGGTCCTCCTCCGAAATGTCCTTTCTTTTCCCTTCCCTCTCTTTTAGAGCACAGAGAGTTTTGTGATTTTTCATATCCAAAGTTATACTTGCACACTGAATATCCAGACTAGGAAAACAGATGTTTTAAGCTCGTTGAGGCTGAATAATTTTACAAGCATTTTGTGTAGCTGTCAAGTATGGGCTTTGAGAACAACATGCCCTGACTTGTCTCCCCAAGTCTGGACTTGCATTCAGCTGGAGCCAGGAGATCCTTGTGTTTTTTTGGGAGTGCCTCTCCTCAGACACTCGTAGGCTCCTGGCCACAGCAGACAGGGTTTGGGATGGTGTTTGGTGGCCTCCGTGCTCTCTGTTGCCATCAGCAGGGGCTTCCCTGCTCTGGCTGCAGGTGCTCCAAAGCAGGCGCTGCTCCCCTGGCTCCCAGCTGGCAGTGCCCTGGGAGCAGAGGTGGTGCCTCTGTTTCTCACTGAGCTCAGATAAATCTTACAGAAGATCTGGAAATTTGCTTGAGTTTTAGCTTGCCATGACACTGAGGGCCATCCAGTCACTGAGCTACTGTGAATGGCCGAGGAACAGCTGCACTAAGCCCTTCAAATTCTGTGGGGATGTGGGGACCTCTGCCTGCTAAGTCTGTTTCCTGACTTCACTAACTGGCCTGTACAAATCTGAGGCACTCCATTCACTGGCTTAAGTTTTTTTTCATTTACAAGAGGGTGTCATTGCAGGACAAAAACTGTTAAAGGGAGTTTGGAAAAAAGTTTGTGTAATTATTTACTGTTTGGGAAAATAAACATTCAACAGAATGTAAAAGACAAATATCGCTTTTTCTACTTCATCTTTCCTTTATTAAACAGTATGATCATCTGTTCTCAAAAGAGGATTATGAATTTGCTGACTTATTGAAAATCATACAGTTAATATTTTTTTTCATTTTCTAGATATCATTATGATGGCATAGCTATCAAGAAGGAGTCTTCCTTTTATGCACGTTTTTGCTGTCTTCTGTATGAACAAAATTATCTCAGGTTTGTTTTTAAAAATGTTTTAATCAAAAAATGACACAACTGTCTATGTTTTCTGTCCATGAAAATCTGTAAATCTTCTGTTGAACACTGACAATAGCATTATATTTTTTTTCTCATTATAAACACTATGAAAGTGCTGTGCCATTAAGTGCTGTGCCCTAATAGACAAGCTGCATTTTGGAAACAGACACTGCCTAATTAGACTTCCAAAAATTGGATGTTTTGGCCACATAGATCTTAAAAGCTGGAACTCATGCTGAACCTAAAAGAAAAGCTTAATGTGTTAAGACTCTAAATGGGAGCTCAAAAAAACCCATATTGAAATGGCTTCTTGACATTCTATCACCTTCCTCATTAAACAGCAGGCTGGAGAAATGTATTACATTATAAATGACTGTGCTGTTTTGAAGAGTCCTACACACAATCTTGTTATCTGGGTTTTTACTGCTTGAAACAGTACTTCAAAAACACTTCATTCACTTGGTTTTAAAATATCAGATTTTAAAATCACCTCTTGTAAGAGAACATCAATAAGAAAATGTGTAAGACAATTAAAAATGGATTGCAAAACTTAAAAGCTAAAGTCCTAAAATGAATGTAAGACACTATGGTAGGCTAAAGGGTAGAAGCATGTTGTGGGCAGGAGAGGAAGAATTCTCATGGTTGAGCTCATGGTTCAGATAAACAAACTACAGGCTTGAATTTCTTCACCCCCCAAAAAAAAAGAAAAAATAAAAGAAGAAAAAATGCTGCCATTCTGCAGCAGTTTTACTCTCATTTATACTGAAGAAAAAAATTAGGTGCAGTCTCTGCCTTGGACTTTGAAGACCAGGTTTTGTATCCTCATTCTTACAGTCTTGTACATTAGTTTAGTGTGTATATATGGAGATACATCATTGTTCTGTGGCATGAATGCTAGGGGCATACAAATCAGTCTGTAAGGACCCAGATATCTGGTGATGCTGAAATTGTTTCAGTGCTATTTTGTATAATATTTACTTAATTGAGTGCATGCTTTGGAAGAACATGGAAAAATTATACCCATAAGTTTGTTGCCTTTCTTCACAGGTTTTATGGCAGGTAATGTTGCAGAAGTCCATAGAGGGACAAGGATAAATGTTGAAACAGGACAGAGGATCCGGTTCTGTAGATGATTGACTGGCAGTCTGTTGTTGTGAGACTAAACAAATTATTCATAGGGAATTTGAGGCTGGTTTCCCATGTCACACTTTCTGAAGGGATATCCTTCACTTCCTCTGTCCCCAGTGTACCCAGAACAGGCCTAAGGTTTCACATCCACAATGAGAAAAGGTCTTGTCCACTGTTTAAGGGATATTGCAGGTCTCTGGCTAAGTTTCTGCTGGTCTTTCCTTTTCATGGAAAGAAAGGTGTTTCCCTGCAGCATCACTTAAAAATAGCAATTTTGATGGGCATAAAAGGAAAGCTGATTGATCTGGCCATATGAGAGCTGAGAGAGAACAGAATGATTTGAACTGTTGCTCTTTTTTTCCTCCCAGTGTAGAAACATGAGGAAAAAAATGATAAAGTAGGAGGAACCCAAGAAGCAATGTTAGCTGAGTTTGGGGCAGGTGCAGAAAGAAGGACTTCAGCCACTGCTGGGAGACAGACACAGCAGATCTGCCAGCATAGCTTCTGTCTTTGTCCCTCCTCATGGAAATGAGCCATCTCCTCTGTGGGCTGGGGAACACCCTGCAGGTCCTGTTAACCACAGGGGAGCTGCTGCCCTGGCTGCTCCAGGCCTCCTCCTCCAGCAGCTGCAGGGGTGCCTGCCCTGACACCCACTCCTAAAATCTGTGTTTAATTTGGCCAGGGCAAGGAATAGGATGTGCATTGCAGGGAAAGGACTGACATCAACCAGCCACCTACTGATCTGGTTTTGGTTCTTAAGATAAACACCTGTCCTGTTGAGAAAGGCTGAGAGTTGGCGTTCCCCAGCCTGGAGAAGAGAAAGCTCCAGGGAGGCCTTAAAGCACCTTCCAATACCTAAAGGGAGCCAACACGAGAGCTGGGGAAAGACTTTGTACTGAGAAAGGGTAGGCTTTGGTTGGATATTAGGAAGAAATTCTTTATAATGAGGGTGGTGAGGCACTGGAAGAGGTTGCCCAGAGAAGCTGTGGATCCCCATCCTTGGAATTGTTCAAGGCCAGGCTGGATGGGGCTCTGAGCAACCTGCTCTAGTGGAAGGTGTCCCTGCCCTTGAAAGTTGGACTGGATAACCCTTGACAGTCCCTTACAAACCAAACTATTCTATGGTTCTGTAATTATGCAGATTTAAAAAACCCAACAAAATATAAAGATCATATTTAGACAAAGATCATATTTCTAGCTGCAGTACAAAAGTCCCTTAACTACACAATTACCTTATCTGATGCTTCCTTCATTAAAGACAATTTTAAGAAGACACTAAAATGTTGAGGCAAGCCAGACAGCTGAAATAAGAACAGCTTCCATTCTAAATTCAGCTACATGTCCCTGTCCCAAGCCAACATGCAGGCCCAAAACACCTGGGCAGATGGGTGTCACAATTACTTCTTAGTATCTCATATAGCACAGCAGGAGAAAACAGAGAGAAAGCAATAGAAAAGCACAAAATGCAGCCAGAGGAGGATGAGTAGCACGACTCTGAAAGAGATAATTAGGTCACATACTAAAAAAACATCTGCTTCAATCAAATAAGTGAGTTAGTTTCCATTTGGGTGGAGTTTTGTAAATTTTTTGCAATTAAGTAATGAAGGAAATAACTCATCTTTGCTGTCCTATCAGTCGGGCTCAGTACTTTTTGAAATCACCATTAATTTTTCATGATCCAATAAAACTGATAAAACCAGTATTGGAAAAGTCTAGATTGTTTTTTACTTAAAAAATTGAAATTTTGAAAAAGTAATTAAAACTTGATGACTCTTTTACCTGCAAGAAGAAATTATGTTCTTATATAAGTAATCATATGTGTAAACACGGCAGGGTGTTTGACCTGTAATGTCAATTTTTGAGAGTGTATTTGTGTGGAAATTTCCAAATCAGAATGAAGCAGATTTATAATGTAGCATTTCAGTGCAGTCCAGTGCCAGTCTGCTGTCCAGACCCCTCTAATGGGATAACTTCTCTGGCTTGTTGCCACTTCCCACAGGCAGAGGCTGGGGGTATCTGTTTCACTGGGAAAGGTGTCCTGAACAGCTACTGCGCCCTCCCATGCCTGAATAAAATCCAACATGCAGATGCTTTTTCTGTCACACCTACCAGACAGGAAAGTGCATCCCTGAGCCCAGCTGAGAGACCACAGCATCCATCAGCCTGTGGGGTGGCAAGGAAAAGAATGGCTCCAAAATTGTGGACTGTTTCTAGTTACTGCAAAGGATATTTCTTGACCATGATAGCAGCAAGTGACATGGTGCTGGTAGTGGGGAACTAGGCTTCTGAAGGACCTGACAGCCTGGGAGCTGTGCTTGTGGTGTCACAGAAATGGCAGTAAGATTATAATGGTTTGCCTTTAAATACAAAGAAGGTGTTTGTATTTTGATGGTGAGTGGGACCTCGGATGTGTCAGGGTTGGAACATGTCCACATAAGGGCTGATGAGGATGGTCTGACACAGCATCTGTGATTCATTTAGAAATTTTCAATGCTTTGAAGATATGTGTACTACTGCTCTGATGATGGTGCCATGAAAATAGTGTAAATATATGCAGCTGTAGTCAATGAGGTCTGCAAATGTATTGCAGACATGAGGGAATATGATTTGTATTACACCAGAATGTGTTCCCTCTTGGAATGGGAGCTTTGAGGACAAGTTCTCCCAAAAATGGTACCTGGTCTGACTCAGAGTACAGCAGTGTTTAAAAAATGTCATTGAATTCTGGTTCTGTAAGAGCTGGTTTTTTGATTCAAGTAATAGGCAAGGTTTAGGCTCCTGACTGGCTAGTGAAGCAAACGTACTAATTTTTTATTTAAAAAAATTATTTTGCTTCTGGCAAATTAACTTTTCTAATCTCTGTGTAATCTGACAGTCAACAGCATGCACATTCACCACCTTCCCTCCTTTCATTTTTCTTTTGTTCTTCCCATTTGCATCTCTGTTATTCTTTATTTCATCCCCATTGTTGTATTTCCCATTTTAGCTTTAGTTCCCACACCACAGCATCACCCAAACTCTGCAAGAGAGATGGTGAAACTCCTTGTGATTTTTTTGTCTCCCATTTTCCCCTTCTCCCACCCACCTCCTCTTTTGTGTGTTCTGTGTGTACCCAGGCACTGCTCTCCGGGGGAAGTGAGCATCTCTGATGTGCAGCCAAGCACCAGGTGAGTCCCAGCCCCTGTGGTAACAGCGGGAGGGCACAGAGCTGTTTGCCAGGGTTCCATAGGGATTTGCACCTAACCAGCCCCGAGCTCCTGGCTGGCTGCTGAGGCACTCCCTGTCTGTCCTGGGTGTCCCTGTGTCAGGGGGGTGGGAGCCAGGCTGCCCAGGGAACCCAGGCACTGCAGGCAAGCCGTGCTGATCCCTGTTGCCATAGTAGCAGCAGCAGAAGATACAGCTGGCTGCCTTCTCAGGGAGAGCAGAGCTGGAAAATATTCATGAATTTTATTTCACAGGCTTTAGAAATCTTTAGGAAGGACCTATTTGAAAGAAGTGTTATGAAACATCTCTACTTACATGTGTTTGCTTTGTCCAGTCAGCACTTCTAAAATGTTTGGGCAAAAGAGTCACCAGCTCTACCAAACGTACTCAGCATGGGTGTTATGCCCTGTCTTGGGCAGCCAAATTGGTGGCTTTGCTGGAGCACAGCTTTCATGACAGAGTAGGGCAGAGGGAAAGGGTGCAAGGGCAGTCCTGTGGATGGCAGAGAGTGCAGAGGAAGCATTTCAGTGGCTGGAGTTTACAGATGGATGAGTTGTTACACTTTGTCCCCTGTCCCTTCAGGGTGTATGGTGGTACCCTGGTTTGTAATGCATCACAGCAGTGAAACCCAGCAGCCAGGTTCTGCTCAGACAGCCTGCCACCCTTCCAGCCAGCCGAGTACAGCAGGACCCTTGAGTCTGAAATGCTTTCATGGACCCTGAGCAGGGGTCAGCAGCAGATGGAGGCTTGACTGGAAACATCCAGTTTTTACTAGCAACATTACCTCTGATGCCATCAGCCTCAACAAAAGAGGCAGGGAGGGAGCTGGGAGACAGCCCAGCAAGAAAGCAGCCTGTTGTGCCTGCTTTCAGCAGCAAGCCAGTGGTCAAACCTTCACGGGTCTGGGTAAATTCTGACTGCGTGGAACACCACGGGCAACTTGAAAAGTAAATGGGAAGCAGTCAGAAACAAAATGCCATCTAAACTTATGTGTGATGCAGAAAATGTAATAACTGTGAAACCTTAGCAGAAGGATTATAATGTTTTTTGTTATTTTCATATTTGTAATAGTTATTACCATTCCAAACAAACTGCAACTAGAAATACATGGTTCTGGTGCAAGAAGTTCAAAGACATTGCACTGTTATATGGTCAATTGTCATTAAAATGAATGGTTCCGTTTAATCTTAAAATTCAGAAATTGGTCCCATATTTGCTAGAAAATAATGGGATTACCAAATTACAGGAAAGGGAGCAGGGTTTGTTTCCCAAATACAATTCTCCAACCTAGTGTAGTCTATCCAGTTTGAGCTCATTTTCTTACTAAATACAGAATGAATCAGTGAGCTTTTGAATGTTTGCTTTTTTCTGTTATTTATTTTGTCACAGTAGAAGTTCCTGGAGTTCTGAAAATGCAGCTGATTACAAGAAGATTAGACAAAAAAAGGGAACAGTGAGTTTCAGAAACATTAGACATAACAAAATGTCTATCTGTGTGTTTAATTACAACTTCTATCTGATATGTTCTGATGAAATACAGCTAGCCCATCTTCCTCAAAATAATCTTGGTCTGTGTAATCTCACTACCTGCTTAGTTCCCTCACTCCTATTTCATCCATTAGCTAAATATTTTTGTTGTCTTAACGTCAGGTCAAATAATTTTTTCTGTACTGAGAGCAGAAATTGTGGCTGACAGATGAATATTGAATATTGAATATTGAATATTGAATATTGAATATTGAATATTGAATATTGAATATTAGGGGAGTTAGTGGGGCACAGCCTTCCTTGCCTGAGGCCCACAGTAGCAGACCCTCGTGCTGTTGAGAAAGTGTCTTTCCAACATGTCCTTTCTTACTCAACGGTGGCATCAGCGTGCTTGGAGTTTATTGTCATGAGAAGTATTTAAATACTGCGAAATGATTAAGAAAAAAGAGCACAATCTCTGCGCATAGAAAAGGACAGATGCAAAATTAACCTGTGGCAGTTCTCCCCTCAGCAAGCTGCCATGGGATGACCTGACACCAGGCTTGTTGGATGTCAGCCAGCAGAGCATGAGCAACAAACTTATGTGGACAAAGTGAGGAAAGCACGAGAGGCTGGATGTGTGACTGACTTCCAGCGAGTGCTCGGGTGCAGTCACAAGTGCTGTGGCAAGGACAGCCAGTGGGAAATGTCCTGTCAGCCCCACAGCACAGCCAGCTAGCTGCAGCCTTGTGCAGAGGGTTACAAGTGTGACACGAGTGCTATAGAAAATATATATGGAAGATATGTACAGAATTAAACATTTACTGGTTTTGAACAGAAATTCATGTACAGTTTAGGATTTAAACATTTAGGCAGCCCTTCTTATTTTTTTCACCCACCTCTATTTCCTAAAAAAAGACAAGCATTTCTCTAAAGAAATACATCTTATTATAAAATCATGTCCTACAACTTCAAGAAAATACTTAACACCTTTAACAAAACAGACAAAGTAATTGCAATCTTTTTTTTTTTAATTGTCCAAAATAAATTCTGATGCATCAAGAGTAAGAATTTGCAGTATTATCCATCTGTCATTTATCTGAAGACTGAACAAGAGACTTTTCATTACCTTTCTCCTGATTTCAACCAGTTCTTCTTTGGAGAACAAGCACAAAGTGAGACATACCCCTATGAACTGGTACGTTGAAAGTGCACAGCCATAAAACAAGTTAGCTCTTTTCCTGTGAGATCATTTTGTACCCTCTTTTTGGTAACAGATTGCACTGCTTGCCAATGACTACTACAACTATTGTCAAGTTATTTTACAAATGGTGAGAGAGACCAAGCTCGACAAGGTACGCTTTTCTTTAGTACCATTTACTCTGACAACAGCAAACAGCTGTAAGGGCAAAATTGTGACTGTGTATCTTATTTACTTGATGGTTTGAGCCAAGGTAGATGATGATTTATGGACAACAGGAGCATTCAGTCAAGTTATTTTAAAATTCTGAGTTAACACAACATGCTCCAAGAATCTGAGTTTGTACACATATCCTGAGCATCCTGGTGCATCAGTAAGTCTGAGCTGAGCACATTACACACAGCCATGGATACATATCTTTAACTACATCCTCATATCCATGGCACAATTCTTTGTTTCTTCCCTCTTTTGTACACTGCCTGATGAGGTTCAGCTTGTTGCTGCTTCCCCAGCACGCTTCCACTTACACTGGGGGCCAGCCAGGATGGGCCAGGCAAAGAGCCCATCTCCATGGCCATTGCTTTGCTTCTGTGTCTGTGTGTTGTCTTATTGAATCATACTTCACATTCCACAAGTGTAAAATCAGTGAAAATTCATAAAGGGCTTTGTGTGACAGGTGGAAGATTGTATCATGTCATTCTGGACATCTCTGCAGCCTGAAAGAATAGAACTGATGTGCCTGCCAGATGTGTGCCAGCTGTTAAAAAGCTATGATAGGTATCTATTCAAGGTACTGCACACACATTTCCTTGTTGTAGCTATGCTATTGTGTGTTTGTGTCTTTTTGGTACCTCTAAGGAGAAGAGCCCTCTCTTTTTCTTTTATGCTGTACAATGGGATTTTTGTTTATTCCTCAACTCTTATCTTTCTGCTTCCTCTGAGACAGCCCTGTATGGGTTTTGGTTTTGAAAGGAGACAGTAGAATTTAGGATGACTTTCATTTTTCTCCTATATATTAATTTGTAAGTTCCTAATATCAGTGGACTGTGCTGTTGTAAATGTGGTCTGTGGTTCTGGCATGAGGTTATGTGACTGAAATTTCAACTGATGATGATTTTCCAGATTATGAGAATTACTTTTCCTTTGAGAACACTACTACATTTCTCAGTGACCTTCCACATAGAAATATGCAGTTTTCTGATAAAAATAATTTGCTTATTTCCAGCAGGTCATTAAGTATTGTCTAGAAATTAATTCAGGTAGAAACATTTACTCTTAGGATCTTTGTCCTTCTGCTAAAAAGTTAGCTTAGCTCTTGCTTATTTGGAAGAAAAAATGTGTTTCTTTACACTTACATTTAAATTATCAATATAATTTTATTTCATGCTGCTGTAAATATCTGTGGTACACCAGTCAAGTGCAGCAGCATGAATTTGTATTCTAGGAATTGGAGAACATCCTACTTCCTGATTTCCTGGAGGAGGTGCCTGCACAACATATAGACTCAATCAGATCATTCAGTGAAAATGTTAAATGTTGGATGCTTAATCCTTTGGGAGGTTTTCCATTACTGCTCCAAACATCCAAGTCTAATGGTAGGTTTGAGTAGGAGAGATATTTTCAAAAATAATCTTTGGTTAAACTGCAGAGAAGATTGTATTACAAAACTCTTAAATTATTTTAAAAAAATTTAGCTGATGTAACAGTGATAGTAGCAACAATTAGAGTTATCTGGGATACAGTTAAAAATAAATGATCTTGCATAATATGTGAGAACAAACTTAAGCCAAAAATATTCCAAATTCATGGTAAATTGAGATGTACTTAAATTGAAATGTACTTTAATCTTTTTACAGATCTGTCTCTTGCCATGATTGCTTTGGCCATGTAGATGACCAAAAATATGCAGCATACCCTCTGAAACTCAGATATTATTGTGTCTCTTCCTCTTACAAGTTACTTTATGCTGATAAATTAATTAATGGATGTAGCAGTCCAATATAAAAGGAAAAAAAGCCATAATCCCATAGAGAAAATATGACTGATATTAGAAGATGTTTGGAAAAAATCTATTCTCTACAAAGCTGTGGTATATATGTGTGTGTTTGTAAATACCTACACACACACATATATTTATACCTATTAAGCTGAAAATTCTGCCTAAAACATGATGCTGCTCAGTGGATCATTGAGTGAAGACCAACTCCCCAGAGGTAAAGCAGGGCTCCTGTGCAGGCAAAAGTTTGTGTTAGGATTCAAATGCTCAGTATTGCAGACAGACTTAATTTTGCCATTTCTTACATTTGATTGCTTGACAGAGCATTAATTAGGAAGTATTAAATGAAAATAATAAAATACTGAAAGACTTTTTCCTGCACATCATGGATTAATAGATTCAGAGTGAAGGAAGAGAGGTGAGCTGGGCAGCTTCTCCTTGCAAGTTTTGACTGCAAGGGTCCCCAGCCCATCCCATAATGCTGGCTCAGTGCTCCAGCTGTGCCCTCCATTAGCCTCCAAATCTCTCCTAGGGAACTACTTTCTAACTTAAAATATGTCTTCATTAATATATTTTAGACTGTAAAATATTAATGATGTGAAACATCTGCCTTTTCTTCTTTAACAGAAGCTAAAGAGTTTGTAAAAAGGCTCAGGAGACAGACAGACCTTTGCAACATGGTCAAGGTATGTTCCAGAATTCATGGAAAAAAGAGCCATGAATCTCATTCCTGTGAGCTGTTTGCACTATTTTTGACATGCTGCTTTGAAGAACAAGTGCACAGCATGGATGTTCTAAACTGTACACTGACATGTCATGCTCACACTCCTTCTCATATCTTCCCTCACTGTTAAGCATGCTGAGGGGACATTTTCCTCACTCTGGATCCTTCTGAAAGCCTCTGAGGTGTAGTTGATGGCAGCCCATGGAGAGGAGAACACAGTAGTTCTGTGTAAGATGACAGTTTCCAGTTTCTTTGCCCATCCATGTCAAAGTCAGTCAAGAGTACATGCTGGAGCATTCCTTCCATTGGTGCCCTTGGATCCTCCCAAATCCTTGAGTTTTGAGGTGGTCTGGGCTATAGCAGAAAAAGGAAGGTCACAAATAGGGAAGAAAGCAAAAGAGAACAGGGGATATATTCTCTTCTTGGAAGGTGTACAAGTTTTTTTTACATTTTTCCAACATGCCATCGGATTTGAATCATTACTCAGATGGAAGAAGGGAAGCAGGGAGAAAATAAGTGAGGGAGGAAGGGAGAGACAGGAGGAACTGCAGATTCTTGGACCACTAAATGTAGCTTTTCTTTATGGGAAAACTTCATCACCAGCAGCATACCAAACACTCCTTCCTCTTACTTAAAAAAAAAAGATTAAAAAATAAAAAGCACAGACATGCATTAGGGCGACTACCCACACAAAAAGTTGACTTCCATGAAGTACTGAGCACTCATAGTTTCCACTAACTGCAGCAGCCCTTGGAGATACTCATACCTGAAAATCTCAGCTTTGTGTGGTTCTAAACAGGGCTTCTTATGCATTGAAGAGCATGATCCAGCAAGATCATGAGTGTCCCCTATCCCAGACATTTGTATTTGATTTGGGTACTTCAAATCACCCTTCTTGTTTTCAAGCCATGATGTCAAAGGGCTGGTTGTAGCTCTTTCAGTCTTCCTTCCCTATTCTTAATGTGTGGGAAAGCTGCAGAGTCAAAACTGGATTTACACCCTCAAGATTTAGAGAATTTCAGCAACTGGGGGAAATGTTTTAGAAGAAGCCTCTGGGTGCTCTACATCCCTTTTGCACTGTTTAACCCAAACAAATTGAACACAGCAGACTGAGAATCAGGGTCGAATTTATACTTCTAGCTCTCACAAGAAAAAGTTGTTTGTACCTTCTCTAGAGCCTCTTCAAAATAAGAGAAAAGTAAAAGAGTTCTACTGCACTTGATATTTTGAGGTAGTGAGTTCCAAGGTATAATTATTTGTTGTATGAAAAAATACTTTCTTTCATTATTTTAAAATTCCTACTCTTCTTCAAGCAATGCTTCCCACAGACCTGCATCACATCCTGCCTCAGTTATTTCTCTCTGAAAGTCAAGTTTATCTCACCTTCTCACACAGGAGTAATTTGTTATTTCTAATCAACCTTCTCAGTTTTCTGTCTAAAATGCATCTGGAATTTCAACTAAGGACTGATGGTCAGAGCAGGCAAGAGTGCTCCTGATGAGAAGTGCTACAGAGGCACTGTGCAACCTCTGAACACTGTAACCACATCATTCCTTGTAGAGCACTTCACAATAATTCAATTATCTGGCGAGAAAGTAAGAACAATTTTGGCAGGGTCAACATTCAAAAGAAAAAAAGTAACTTTCCCACCATGTGTATATAAAGCAGGCTGACAGCTGCTACTACCTGGACATGTAGAAATAATTAGAGCATAAAAAGGTGCAAATTCCCTGTGAGAAAAGGATGTGAATGTGATACTTGTCATTTTCTGGGGCTGATTCCTGCCTCTGGTAAGTTGTATTTGAATGTTGAGAGGGCTGGCTCTCAGTCATTTTGGAGAATCATATTTAATATAGCAAAATCCAGTGGCTGAAGGGGTCAGTCCAAAGTGTTGGGCATGGAGTCAGGTATTAGCAGCCTACTGGAGGTGCTGCCCTGGTAGTTCCCAGCCCTTGGGTCATGTGTTCTTTTTGCAGGCTCTTTTTCTGTTCCTGAAAGCTCCAAGTCAAATAAGAAGAATGCCTTTGTCTTTAACTTATATGAAGGAGATTGCTAAATGAGAATCAGATTGAGTTTGGTATTTAAAAAAAAGTTAGCAGAGTGATGAAATATAGCTTTATTGATAATTTTTGCAAAGAAATGGTCAGCTGCATTTGTTGCTGCTTGTGAGGTCATGCTAAGCACCTGGTAAATGGGATTTGTTAAAACATGTATGAATCCTGAAGTCTTCTGGAATTTTACAAACCATATTTTTCCTCTGAAAAGCCCAACTGGATAAGAGTTATTTACAGAAAAGCCTGAAGTTTAAAAAAAGCTTTAGAATCTTACTGATTTCAGTGTGAAAGACTAAACATATTTGTTAACAAAATTTAATGGATTCAGATTTAGTTTCCTTGACTGCTTTCATCATTTCATCAAGAATCTTAAGGACTATTGTGTGATATTAGCAACTAATTTTAAAAAGTGAAGACATTATGATAAATGTTAGTCTGAAAATTGTTTGCAATATCTCTGTAATACTTTTTTAGACAAATATGAAGACAGATTCATTCACAAATGACTCATAAGCAGGTAAATGGGATAAAAACAAACTAATATTGTTTTAACTAATACTGTATTTCTAATGTTATATTTACTCTCTCAAAGGCTTGAGCAATTTGAAAAAACTTGCAACGATTAAATTGCAACATAAATTAAGGACAGATAACACTGAAGGAAAGTCATCCCTGATACACCATTCCATGCTTTAGACAAAATGTCATTATTTAGTGTAATTACAATAACTCTAGGCAAAGTCAATTGCCCAGGCAATTGCCCAGATAATTCAAGTATGTTAGCCTTGTCTGCTCCATCACAGACAACACAGAGCATCATTGAAAAGGACTTGTCCCAGAACAAAACTCTCTTGAAGACAACTTCAGATTTATCTCCTTTGATCCTATATCCCCCCACACCCCCAATTTGGAGACTGGTCATATGAAGTCTAGTATTGAATAAGGGAAGCTTTCCTTCTTCAATTCCCTTATTTGGCTGAGTTAGGGGCTTGAGAAAATGAAAGGCATTAACTGTTTTTTTATTCTGTCCAGACAGTAAGAGCACTCTTGAACAACAACAGCACAGTCACTGTTCTGCGGTCAGGCTTGCATGCCATCTTCAATGAGAAATCTCTGGATGTGACCAAAGACCTCTTTCAAGAGAAGTTTAGGAATCCAAAGAAGCGGCAGAAAAACATACAATTAAAATGTAATTAATTGTTGCTATTTATTGTCTTTCCTCTTAAGCACTAGGTTGTCACTGTTAGAGGTCCAGCATTTCCTCTTGTTTATTCATGACATCTGCCTTACTGGGAATTACACTCTTCCTGTAACCTGAAGGGCTAGAAAAGAGACAATAAAATTGAGAATCTAGCATGAGGTAATATCCTCCTAACTTTAAAGTTTAAGAATTAAAGGCTTTTGGTTCTGACTCTCTTACAGCTTTTTGTGACAGCAGGAGTGGAGTTTGTGTTACTGAATGATGTATTTCCTAGAAGGTTGACAAGCAGGGATATTTTTTCATGCTTTCTTTTGACAGGAAATATGTTTTCAATGATTGCATTTTCCTCTGTTATTAGTTGAAGTGCACAAAATAATTTCTTGTGGCCAGATTTTGAAATACTGTATGCTGAACTGGACAAGGCCTTTTAGCTTTTGTGTCCTTTTGCTGTATTGTGGCCTGTGGATCAATGTGGGGCTGTAAACAATAAAATACACAGTTTGTGTGCAGCCATGACATAATGATTTGAGAAATTAATGAAAAGGAATAGAACAGCAACTTAATTTTTAGATTAATTGTCTGCCATTTAAAATATTAGGAAGAGATAGGCAAGTTGGACTAGGCTGTGCACAGAACTAACCAGGGGAACCTCAGCTCTTTGTGCCTGGTCTGCTCATGCACTGACAAGGGATTTGTCACAAATCCCTTGTCAGTGCTTTCTCTGACTGCTTTTAGTAGGAATAATAACTTGCCTTCTTCACAGAATCATCAGGATAACAATTTCAATAATATACATATACATATTAAACCCAAAACCACTGCATAGAACACTTAGTATATTTTTCTGTTATATTATCGATTTTCTTGGTCTTCCCAAGGTGGTTTTATTGAATTCTCTGTTTTCACTGCTTTTCCAAACTGTCATCTATAATAAGCAATGTTTCACTGAACTTATCCATATGCTTTCTTGAAGGGAGAGGTCTCAATTAGAAGGATATAAAGTCAGGGAGGTGAAATTTACTTTTCGGCATTGGGTGGTAGGTGCCAAACTTTTGAGGCAACAATTGCACTGATATGTGGCAGCGTTATCCATATTTCTGTTGGTCTACAGAATATTCTGCATTTTCTGCTTTGTTTTCAAAATTTTTTCTCCCTTCAACAGTGAGACCAAGAGTTTTTTTCTCAATCACATAAAATCTCAGATAAATAAGTTAGTATTGCCTCTAACCAAATTCCAGCTTTCTCCGTGGAACTGTTTTTTCTTGCCACCTTTGCCATGATGACTAGGCTAGTGCACTTATGCTGGAAATGGAAATACAAATGAATTCTGACTTATTTCAAAGTAGGGTACTATTCCTCACTAAAGAAATGGTATATTAATCAAAATGCTAGAAACAGATGTCTTAATCTATTTTAAGGTAAAGATAAAAGAAAAAAAAAAGCTTAAAACTGCAGAAACAAACCAAAAGGCAGACCAATCACTTCAAGTAATGATCTCCCTTCTGTATTTCACAGGTTTGAAGAACTTCATTTCTTCACTGGCATCTTCCACAGATATTCGGGATCTCCTGAGCTGTTTGTCTTCAGATCTCCAGACTTTTGTTATTAAGGTATAAAATTAATAATTTCAGAATAGGAGGAGGGATCACATCATTTATCCTGCTACAAGCTGACTGTCATTAGTCTGCAGGAGGTATATTGCACACTAGCAACCTGACCAGACTGCAGATTTGCATAAATACAATTTGTGCATTCTGTGGAAAAGGGGAGAATTAATTGACATACAAAAATTCCATCTGTGCAAACAACTACAAGCATATTTCTGTGCACATATCCACTCTAGTCATTTCAGTATCTGCTCTGATTTCATACACACACATTATCACAGCCCCTAATAAACCAAAATTCAGAAGTACTATGTTGGTATAAATGAAGAACATTCCATGGTTCCTTAGATCCTTGTTTCACCAAGCTATTGACTTTTAGCAAGTACTCAGAACTTCTAGCAGAAAGTCTCTAGCTCTTGTGAAAGATTCAAGTATGACCATCCTCACATATGCACCTTTCAATAGATTACCAACTCTACCACCTCTCTACCTTCACTGACTCACAATTTGTGTCACTGTGTTGGTACTGCTGCATTTGGTTGGTGAACATAACAATTAACTTGGGTTTGGGTGGTACTTAGAGTTTGGGGTTTTTTTTCTCCTTTCTGAAGAAGCAGAGTAATCTGTGTTCCCTTGGCTTAATTATTTACTCTTATTTTTTCTTTTTAAATGAAGAATAGTACTTTGCAATTCTGTAGTGCCTTCATCTTACATAAGCCTCAACTACATGATGGGATGGTGAAGAGAAGATGGAGTGGGACTTTTTCTGAGGGTTCATAGTTATAGGCCATAAGGCAATAGACACAGGTTGCAGCAAAGAAAATTTCCAATAGATACAAAGAAAAAAAACCTACCCTTAGAATGATTAAGCATATGAAGAGATTACCTGGAAAGTCTGTGGAATCTTTATCCAGTAGATATTCAGAACTTGGCTGGACAAAGCCTGAACTAAGCTGGCCATGCTTTGGACATCAGAATAGGTAATATCCAAAGATGTCTTTCAACCTAAGACATTTTAGGATTCTAATAGAAAAAAAAATGCTTGTTGCTTTTTTCACCTTTGTATGCAGTTTGTACTGGGAAAACGGTCTGACACACAGAAGGGAATTCCTTTAACCAACTTTATCATAAACCAATTTTTTTTCTTTATCTGCAGCCAAGCAAGAGTAAAGAGGCTTTTAAAGAGCAGGCATCAGATTTCATGTTGAAATGGAACTTCCTACTGAGCAATGTAGGCAAGATTCTGACCATCAACAGGACAGACAGTTTTGGTAAATAGGATCTTTGTGACTCTAATTTGATATGCCCCATTTTGACCTGAGATGGCAGAGTCTCAGATCAACAGATCCAAAAGTACCTAAAGCAGGCAATGAGGGCTGGTGATGTAATGACAGGACAATGGGGAATGGTTTAAACTGAAAGAGAGCATGTATAGACTGGACATTAGGAAGGAATTCTCTACAATGAGGGTGGTGAGGCATGAGAACAGGTTGCCCAGAGAAGCTGTGGATGCCCAATCACTGGAAGTGTTCAAGGTCAGGTTGGATGGGGCTTTGAGCAACCTTTGGAAAGTGCATGGTGGGGGTTGGCACTAGATGGTCTTTAAGGTCCCTGCTAGTCCAAACTGCTCTGCATTTCTGTGATTCTATGATTTTAACTGACATAAATGTATTTAATAGAGACATCTCTTCTCCTACTCCTTTTTATCACCATTCTCCTGGTGATGTGGCTAGACAAGAAAGGGAAATGAAATGATTAGGTTTTGACCAAACCAGGTCTCTGGGCAAAACTCTAGGATGAGCATAAGAGAGGAGAGTAGGAGCATGGAGCTGTAGATGGCAGGAAAGCTGGGACTCCCTCTTTTGGCAGAAGTTGTACTTTGTGGGGAAACAGGGAACAGCAGCCTGAGGTGAGAGCCTCTGCTTTCCCTCCATACAAGAGGTGCACACCACAGCAAAATGGTTTGATGGAGATCTGGGGCCACTAATATTCCAAACCATAAGCATTCCAGACATCTCAAGTGATAGCTCTGAGTCCCCCAGGTTCTTTCTGTATAATCCAGCCAGAGCAGAGCCACTGCAATAACTAGTTGCCAAAAAAGCAGCTAGTTCCTCTGACAACAGATATATGCTCCTCTTACTTAATGTCTTACACTGGCATAAGTTCTTGTCTAGCCAGCAGCACACCTGTTGAAGGTATTGAACTGACTGAAAAGTAGCCTGAAAATAGCCCAAAAAACCGACTGAAAATTAGCTGGGTTGTTTTTCTTTCCATCTTAGGGCTCTAAGGCACTCAGGGCTCTCAGCTGTCAAACATCAAATCCATCATACACCAGCGCAAGGTGGGAGAAGGGAAGGAGCTGTGCAGTTGTGTTCACTCAAAGAGGCTTGAAGTGATACAAATATGTCTTAAATCAGTCCAATCTCTACCCTAACTGCCTTTCTCTTCACTTGTAACACCTTGCAAAGGTGCCACTTCTGCAGAAATGTATTATCTCCTGTGAGTTGCATCTAATCCCAAACTGTATTAAATGCCTTTTAGATTTTCAAAGGAGCAACTTCATATTTTTAACTCATCTGTTGGATGCAGCTTCATACAAATAGCCAAAGAAAACCTCATTATTTTCTTTGAAATGCCCCTTCAAAACCATGCTTTCATGTGTTTGCTATAAATACATAACAAAGGGGTATGTCAAGGTTGTTGCCTTTTGTGTTCTTCAATATTCTTACCCCATTAATGGCTGTGCTTGTGCATGTATGAACACAGTCTTCTTCTGCATCAAGCTGCTGCCTTTTGCCTTCTGTTTGCTTGTAAACTGTCTGGAGCAGGATCAGAGTTTTGTTCTGTGTCTGCAGGGAACACAACACAGTAGGGCCCCTCGTCCCTCAGCTGCTGCATTACAGTAAGGGTAAAACAATCAATCCTTTCTCTCTCTCCAGAGGAGTTCTGCACAAAACTCTCCAATGTCATATGCAGTATTTTTGGCAATGAATAAACTGAGAATGCATTCCAAGAACTGCACTGGATGTATAATGTTTATTGAAATCCCCCATGATGATGAAATCCTCTTCCCTCTTTCCACCACAAGAAGAGTTTAATGAATTGCCTCCCTGTTCTGCGGTTTTGTTGATGGATGGGATGCAATGGATGAAGCACATCTCTTGGTCTGCTGAGGCTTCGTTAAACTAATTACAAATTACATTTTCACCCATTTTATGACAGTTTTCCTACTACAATAACACTAAAATTGAATTTATTTCAAATATGAGAGAGTTAAAAATATTTTTTAATATTTTGCTGTGATGCTTCAATAATGTGGCCATTATTATCTTTCTTTGCTCCTTAAGATGGTGTATTTGATCTATCAATGTCCTTTTTTTTTTTTTTTTTACACGTTTCTATTCCTTTAGGACACTGAGTTTTAGCAGACAGGCTGAAGCAGTTCTGTTAACAAGCCATCTGGTGTAAAAGTTCTGTACTTGGGAACATTGCTTTCCAGAAATGTCTTAAATCTCAGCATTTCTTCAAAATATGAACTATGTAGCATCCACACTGATGAAACACAATTACCTGGGAAAATGTGTGTCATGTTAATCCAGTAACCAAAACAAATCTTGCTTCTGACTTGACCTCTTGCCTTCTAGCTTGCCACCTGCAGCAGACATCTGCATCATAATACACTGGCATCTTCACACCTCTCAATTTAGGATTGGCTTTCACCCTTTTCCAGCCCAGCCCCACTTGGGGGTGCCCAGGTGAGATCAGAGGAGCCCTGCAGTTACCCCTGCTGTAGGGCAGCAGGGAGCAGGTGTGCTGGAGCATCCAGGGCTAATGGGAGCTCTACAGCTCCTTCAGCTCCATCTCCTTTCCAGAAAATGTGTCTCTACACACCTCCCTCACAGCGTTTCATGTCAGCTCACACACCTCTGCTGCCTTCCAAGGCACTCAAGGATGCAATTCCAAGCCATGGGGACTGAGTAGTGAGCTGTGTATTCCTCTTCTGCAACAAATTGCTTCAGCCTGGTTCCTCTTGAGAACTGCGTTCCTCTGGATTATCCCAAAAGACAACTGGAGTGGTAGCTTTGGCTTCATGCTTACTCTTAGAGAATATATTGAAAACACCTGTAAGACTGTTAGAAACATTCTTGAACTACTACTTAAAAATCAATATAGTTTCAACTCCAACTATAAAAATCCCTTTCCTTGTTCCATAGGTAAACAAGCACTTCCTCCTACTTTCCTAGCTTAAGGATCCTCAAAAGGATGAACAGCAAAAGCAGCAGCTTCGTAGACACATATAACATCAAAAGAGTATTTTTCATTTTTAAGGCTCTGTAAACTGTGATCATTAATATAAATTGTGATCTCTCCTTGTTAACGTCTATATAAACTAGTTTGTGGGATGCAGAGCTTGATGAATTCTTATGCAGATTTATGGCATGGAAGATCTAGTTTTTACTGTAAGGGCTTTCAACCAAGGTATGATTCAAAAGTCAATGGCCTCAGTGAGTCTTTCTGGCCTTTTATCACTTATGGTCCAAGCTGCAAGGTGGGCCATTTAATGTCATAGATATACACACACAGATGTCTGTAGGAGGTTTCACTTGGGAAGAGGTGGAATGATTTATCTGTCTGAGGGGAGAATGGGGATAATATGTGGTTATTGATAAGCCTTGTCGTAGAAGTGAGTGGGGAGGAGGAACTTGAACAGGAAAGTAAATGAACACAACTTTCTTTTCTAGTTAAATAAGGGAAAAAAAAATTGCATATGTTTAAAAATAGCAGTGGTGCTTATTTTTCTGGGATATTTGGAAGTACATAGTTTTTTAAGTACTGTTTGATGAGTGCTAGTCCATTACTTTGTCTAGCCTATTACTATAATGAAGCCCTTCAGAAAAGAACACATCATAAAGATATGCAAATGAAGAGGTTGTCATAATTATCTTTGTTTTTCTTTAAACCTAGGATCCTGGCTTTTGTTGAATATGCTACTTGTTGATTTTGCGGCTCACATTTTCCAGTCCTATATAGAAGAGGAGAAGGAAGAAGGAAATGCCTTGGTTGCAAAGCAAAATGAGGTCCCTGTTCTGTGTGTTTATGAGCCCAGCCATCTCTCAGCCTGTTTTGCTGAGGAGGAACCTCAAGCCAGTGCTCCACAGACAGCTCTTGTGATGCAGAACCAGAATAACTTTGGATTAAGCAATGCTTTCCAGAGTTCTGAGTTGTTTGGTGAACACAGCCACTGTCAGCAAGGTGAAATTAACATTAACTTAAAAGAAAATGATGGGGAAAATGTTATAAATTGGGCAAATTAGGACAGATTGGGAGGTGTGTGGCTGATTGGGGTATTTTCTGCATGTAAAGTAGAACTAATGAAATCCAGGTTTGCATGGAGCTGTGTCCAATGTCACGGAAACCTCAACTCACAAAGCATCCTCCACATCCTGCTCCCACCCCACAGTGATCCCAATGGATTGTAATCCCAACATCACCCACCTCCTCAGCACCATAGGTTCCTGGTTCTTTCCTTAGGTTTCCAGCAGACATCAGGAGCTCCTTCTGATTCCCCAAGTGTTGTTTAAGGAAGAGCAGTGCTGTTCTGGTGTGTTGGGAGCAGGCCATGGGCTAGCTGACAAACAGACTGCATGTATTTATCAATCAAAAACGAGAGGGCACAGTGTGGTCTCTCCTCACTTTTGGAAGCACTGAGAGGCTCTCTTCCCTCCCATTATCTGTTACTTTTATCAAAAGATATGAAATATCTTCAGAAATATTAAATCCTTGAGACTCTTCTGCTCTTGATTTTCTTGCAGTCAGTCCACTGCTCCAAACTCACTAGCATAAGGTGTGACATACAGGTAGAAAACAAGATAAACTCTAAGTCTTCTAGAATAAAAGGCTAAATACAAGAACACATGGGAATATGGATCAAGCCTCTGTGGTTAATGCAAGTGATGAATTAGACATTCAGCTCTTTTCATATTTCTCTTCCATGCAGTAAGAGCACTTGTCTTATGTCTCAGAGAACATTGTGTTTTCCAGAAAACTGAAAGAAAAATGTTAATGGCACCAAGACTCACAGAGAAAACTAGGTTTTTTGGGTGGTACTACTATAGTTATTCCCAAGAGGTAGTCAGTTTCCATACCCTAGCACAGGAGTGGAAATTGACTGTTTTAAAAACATCTTTATTAATTATAAGGCCCTGTAAGGGACCCTAATTTTTTTAAAGTATGCTAAGACTAGTCCAGCAAAGAAATTTGGAAGAGAGAAAGCAGTCACACAGAGGACAAACCAAGAATGATTTATACATGTGATGGGTGTGTTTGTCAGCTTTTGTTATTTTTCTAAATGTAAAATAAAGACCCATCCTGCCATACTACCTTTATATAAAAATGTAAACTGTGCTGGGTGCTGACAATTTGCAAGAGAGCTCTAAATCAGCGATGGCCAGAAATGAGGAAATGAACCACTAGAAATTTTATTCAATATCTGCCCATGTCCTGTGCTCTTCACTGGGCTGCCTTTTGTATGTCCCGTGCCCATTGCAATGCTTTTTGGAGGGGTCATCAGACAAGGGCTTGACCCAATTTTGTTCTGTGGAAGTGATGTGCTTATAAATATGTACCAGTTTTGAATTTTTTGTACCTGATCACAAGAACAGAGCAAGGCTGATTAGAGAGAGGGATGAGGAATCATCCCTTTCAGAATAAGAGGGGAAGAGTGTAAAATGTGAAATAAGGAGTATGAGGACTTGGGAGAAGGTGTACATGAGGGAAGGACACAGTGAATGACTAAGAAAGTGTAGGAGTTTAGGCATCAAATAACCCAGCAAATGATGGATTCTACCAGTCCATGTGCAAGATGCTAATCACTGAGATGAAAAAGATATTCTAGCAAGCACTTGTTATGTTGTGGTTCAAGTGCTTACAGTTTGTGATGGAGTCAAAAACCGTGAACCTGCAGCTCAAAAGAGTTCAGGAGCTGTGAGAGAGTGAGTGAGCACTTTTGCCTGCTCATGTTCTTCAGATGGGTGGTGCTCCCACCTTGACCATTGCAGATTCTTTCTTTTGTATATCCACACTGATGCCACGGGTTTGCTGAAAAGCAGCTGCCAAAAGCATCTATCACCCACTGCTTTGTTTGTATTGTCATCTCTGTAGTTCCTCTGACTAGATTTCCATTGCATAAGGATTTTTGTTGTGTGACTTTTGACCACTAAAAGTCATCATCATGCTTCCAAGGAACCATCTGTCCCTGCTCTTGCCTAATCCCCCTTTGGGCACAGATACCCCATTCTGTTGGGTATCTCAGCAGCCATAGCAGCATCCACCAGCCACACTGCTGTTTCCTGGACCACATTTCTGCTGCCTGACATATTGCTCAGGTTTATTTCATAATTTTTGCTTTTAATTCCTTCACCTTAGGCGGGCTTGGCAGGTTTCTGTAACCCAGGGCTTTTCATCAGTTCCCATTCTCCACTCCATCCATTGCCAGCATCACCCAACCTCCGTGGTTTTTAATCTTGCTCCACAAGGCATTTCTATGCCTTCTCTACAGCCTGTTATGCTGTGGGGAAAAAAAAAAAAAACCTGTTCATCACACCTCCCCACTCAGCTCATTGAAATCAGTGCTAACCACTTGGTCTTGCTACAAAACCCTGGAAAAATATGAGGGAAGATTGGTAACACGAATCAGAAAAGAATCTCCCAACCTTACCCTGATATCAGCAGCACCAATATGTGTGGCTTAGCAGATCCCTTCCTGATCTTTTAGTTGTCACCTTTATTCTTCTTCTTCCTTCTCCATCTGTTTCTAGTCTTCCATTCCTAGTTGATGCTGGATATAAATTAGACTCCTCAGCAGGGACACCATCTTTTCCCATTTATTATGAACAGTGCAGTACATTTATGAATCTTATCTTTAAATATAGTTTAAATAATTAATACATAGAATTAATAAATAGAGTTAATACTCTTGAAAACAGAATACATTCCAGGTTGGAGGCATCTCCTGAGGAAAATATTGGTTTTATATGAAAAAAAAATGCAGAGGGCAGGGGGCAAGATAGTAGAAGATTTGTACACACTGGCTTAGCAGGGAAGTGTGGCAGATGAAATGCTATAGAGCCAAAACATATAGTATGAACTCAAAATTGATGAAACCAGTGGCAGGAACAGAGATGCTCTGAACAAGCCATAATCTATAAAAGTGCAGTTCAGAGAGAATTGGCCAGATCTTTATTCCTTATCACAGAGCTTGCAGTTGCTTTCTCTCAGCATGAATAGCATTTTTTTTATCTAGGAAATCTCATTCTAGGTTTCTGCTTTTTTTTCACTTGTTACCAAATTAAAAATCCTATTAAGCAGCACACCTGCAGTGGGTTCATCTGCAGAGCACTGTGCTGTAGCTTTTAATCCAATTCCACACCTTGTAACATACAATATACTGCAAACCAGGGCACGAAGAGACCGAGGGTATGCTATTCCTAGCTCTGTTGCCAGAGAGCAAATCAAACACTTTGGTTTGTTAAAAAGGGAGAAAAAATAGGACATAGTTAACTACTTGACTTGTAGGAATGGTAAGTGTTCATCTGAGTGGTCTGTATAAACCAGGACACAGAGATCAAATGAAATCATTAACTAAAATGATCAAAAAATGAGAGCAAAAACATGACCCTGCTTGAATTCAGTGTCAAAACTTCTGCTGACTTTAAGAAAGCCAGAATTTCAGCATGAAAAAGCAGTCCCCATCAGGAGAGAGGCTGAGACTGTGTGTCAGCTGTGAGCCCTTCTATTCATTTTCAAAACAAATAAAGTGTGAATGATGTTTTCAAAGGGGATATGCCCTTCTGCCAGACCTTTGCCATCCTATGATGAACCCCAATGTGTGCTTCCTCTTGTTGGGTTTATTTGATGTAAAATAAGGCTGGGTATCTATAAAATAGCTCAGGTTCAGCAACTAAGAGTAGAGAAGACTTTTGTGTTCAATGAAGGGAGAAACAAATGATTTACAATTCCTACAGTCAAAACATTTCCATGTTTCTTTTCTAATTTTCAGCACATCCAGATAATTTAGGAAGAGAAAATTATTATATCATGTACTAAGTTGGATCTTCAAGTTGCAAAGGAAACATTTCTTATTCAAAAAGATGAAATGATATTTCTCTGCCTCCAATGAACAGCAGATCTTCAGAGAAAAGCATCCTGGCTGTAGCATTCTATATGATATGCCATTCTTACTTTTTGATAAAGTTTAAGAAACACTGTTTTCATTCTCTTATACTAAAAAGCTTTCTTTTTGTAATACAAAATGCAAAACTGGGCTAGCAATGCAATTATTTTAAGTTGTCATGTGATTTGATTTGGATTATTTGAATAAATCTTCAGATGATAAAGGTGAAGTACTCGTGGCTTGGTTTTATGTATTTATTGTATATTTCTGTTGTCAGTAAAGCTGAAGACCTACCTGAGGTAATCATGGTAAATTATCTGGAAGCTACAGTATAAATGAATGACTCTGTGTTAATGCTGCTTTGTGTCTATGGTGTTTAATTAAACATTTATATTTATTGAATATAAAACCTAGCACTAATTCCCGTCTTTAGAAATTCCTGCTTTGTTTACCATTTCTGCAGGATACAAGAGTCAGTATCTCACATATAATTCTATTAACCAAAATAAAATAGGCTGTATAGAATGTTACTATTTTATGATGTTCAAAGCTAGGTTGTTTGGGCTTGTTCTATAAGTAAAGTACAAGCAAAGACATTTATAAAGAGAAACCCTGGCATAAATTCATAGAAAATAGTAAATACAAATGATGAGATTTGTATCTTGCATGCATCAGATTGTGTGAGGAAATTCCCTGAAACACCATGGAAATGGGGGGTTTTAGCTATTTCTGAAGAGCATGCCTGCAGTGAGTTCTCTGTGCCTGCTTGCTATTTCAAGAAGGGACAACTGCTTCAATATTTTAAGAAGGGACGTAGCCTGAATCAGAGAAAAGCACTTGTCAGGAACTTGGGAAGCTTTCACTCATTTTGGGTTTGGAAATCTACATTGATTTGCCACTTGCATCTCCATTCCTCTGTCTCAGCTCAAGCTCTGAAGTGGGAATCAATTTTCAAAAGTGTGGTATTGCAGCAGATGTAGACAGGGCTATGTGCTAAATGAAAAGGTAGTCATGTATTCAGCTCTGCAGAAAAGATTGAGAGTTTGGTGCCAAAATTATATTTTCTTGAGAAGTATCTTCACAATCAGAAAAAAATATTAGGGTCTTAAGGCCCATTATTCCCATTTCCATTATTCCTTAGGTTTTATAATGGAGAAAAAAAGGGAACAGGGAGTGTAGGAAAAAATAAGCTTAAAATACTCAGTATTCTCCAGTCCACTTTTATTTATAAGAGTTTAGATTCTAGATTAGATATACCTGTTCTCATGGCACAATTAGGCAGAAGTTGTATCAGTAGACTGATCAACTGTTCTTCACAGATATGAAAAAGTAAGATGTAGCTGAGAACATGTTTTAGAGGTACCTGAGAACCTTCTGACAGGCAAAGGTTTTTGAGAGATTCTACTGATTCTGAGAGATGCTACTGAACCCGTGTTCCTGAAATAATTTGCATTAATGCAATGGAAGTTTACAAGCATATGTTTTAAAGAATTACAGCTTTGCATTGCCATATTGACGAGGTCTACTGCCAAGAAAGGCACACATGTGCCTTTATTAAATTTGGCTATTGATATAAACTCATATACATGCAAATCTTTACCTAATTAAAACCTTGCCTGGAAGACGTTTAATAGCAGCTCCCTGAATTTGCATATCAAAACTGCATCCTCACAAGCACCAAACTAATGCTGCCTGCCACCCCGGCCTTGGGGTCTTGCTGTGACTTGACCCCAGTGCCCTAAGGAAGCTTTCCCTGCAACGGGAGTGTTCACATGGACACTCTCCCTCGTGGATAGTCTCCTCTTTAATAAACGGAGAGGTCGCACCGCCTCTGCCCGGACAACTCTATCTTCTTGGCTTTGTGGTGAGTGCAGAGAACCTGATACGTGAGATACCTGCTGGACCTTACAGCTGAACCAGGGGCTCCAGCGGGCTCCCAGGAGCCCCGCAAGGGACAAAGGCAGGGTTACCCCGCAGGGAGCTCCGCGTGGGGTGGAACCCGCCAAGGGTTCCGGAGCCGGGGGCAGGACACCGAGGCGTGACGCGACTGCAGGGCCACCGGGGGCTGCCGTGCGCGGGGCGGAGGCGCTGCGGGGCCATCGAGAGGCGCTGAGGGGCGGAGGCGCTGCGGGGCCACCGGGAGCAGCCACAGCCGCCGTGCGCGGGGCGGAGGCGCTGCGGGAGGCGCCGCGGGAGGGCGCGGCGGCCGCGGGAGGGCGCGGCGGGAGCGGCGCTGCGGGCGCTGCCGCAGAAGATGTCGGCGCGGCGGCCGTGGCCGTGCTGGCTGCTGCCGGCGCTGCTGTGCGGCGGCGCGGGGGGGTACGTGGTGGTCAGCTCGGTGTCGTGGCCGCTGCCCGAGGCGGGGGCGGCGGCGGACGAGCTGCACAGCTCCTCCACGGAGGAGGCGCTGCCCGCGCTGCTGGAGGAGGCGGGCAGCCTGTGGAAGCAGAGCTACCCGGCCTCGGCGTACCGCGAGGATGCGGCGCTGGGCCCGGGGCCGGCGGCGCGGCGGCCGGGGCAGGGGCAGGGCGCCGCCCCCTCCAGGATGTTCTCCTACCGGCGGGAGGGCGGCGCGGCGCCGGGCCGGGCCGGGACCGCCCGCTTCCTCGCCCGACACAACACCTGGGGCTTCGTGGCGACGCGGGCCGCCCGAGGAAAGGTACGGAGCCCGCGGCGGCCGCGGCAGCCGGTACCCGCCCCACCACGGAGCGGCGCAAACTTCGGAGGAGAGAGAAATCGTGCTCGGAGCTCAGGCAGGGAGGATGCACGCGAAAACCGCACCAGAGGGACACCTAAAATAGCAAAATCTCAAGGCCAGAAAGCAGAGCCGCATCGCAGGGTTTGGAAAGGGGCTGTTTCAGGAGGATGAGGAGGAGAAGGAGGAGAGCCTGCTGGGCTACCGCAAAATCTGCCCGTCCGTCCAGCTATACCAGCTTAAGGGAGGATTTCTCTGTCAGGAACAATAAACAAAATAGCTGGGCTGCTATTGGGGTCATTCTTTTCTTCAGCTTTAAAATATTTCCTTTTTTAAAGTGAAACGTTCGGATGAGACACAGCATCCAGTACCACTCAGACAAAAGGGGGGGAAAGAGAAATTAAAAAAAAATTAAAAATACATTCTTAACTTTCTGTTGAAAGTATTCACAGATTAATTAGCTTGTGATTTTAAATTAAATTTAAAAGCACGTAAGTCTTCAGGAAGCTCGGCTGAGTTAGTGGCAGTTAATGTTATTGTAAAATACAAAGTAACAGATTGACAAAAAGATACTACAAAATTAATTTGTAGGCAGACAGAAAAGGCCTGTAATTCTACATCAGCTTTTGGAAATCCTATTAAACCATATGATCGTAACTCTTGGTTTATGCTCTCACCAGAAACCCTCAGTGGAATTATAGCCATAATACAGTCTGCAGTTACCTGCCTCCAGACAGAACACAGAAGTAATACAGAAAAATCTGATTCATAATAAAATTTGAAATTTGGAGGGTGATGTTTGCTGCTTTGAATGCTGAACTATGCTGCCTGTGATCACAATTATTTTTGAGAATCCAGAGTAACATTAACCTTGCATGACAGACTGAATATTTTAAGCAATGGGAACACATCCTGCAATATTACTGAGAGCTTTTTTTTAAATCGTAACTCTTAATAATAAACAAGGATTTGTATTTTCTAAGTTATGTAATATCATTAAAGCATTATTTCTAAGGGAAGCCAACAAAGACCATTTATAAGCACTATAAGCATTAAAATTTTAAAGGCATATAAACATTAAAAATCAGAAAGCATGCTACCCAGGTAACAACATCATCCAGGATTTTCTTATTAACTATTGATATTTAATTTGATTTTGTTGTAAAAGATTTAATGTATTGACAGATAATTTTACTGTTTAACATTTAATAAACCATGATGAAAAAATATCTGAACACATGAAAAAAGGAGCAATTAACTGAATATCTGTCATTGCTATTTATAATGGGATGAAAAGCATAGTAAGAGTATATCATTCTGAAGCATATCAATGAGTGTCACTACTGGGCAAGGACATTTTTGCATGCATTATAACCACTGTGTGTACATAGGGCAGTGTATAGGAGAAAATATTTTTGAAAACTTGGCTCCTTGGTGTCCCTTCTCTGCCATGAGAGGAGATGTTACTTTGGCTGGCTTGGTAGTTGAGACACCCTCCCCATCAGGAACTTGATGTTCCTGCCCAGGAAGCTGAGCTGATGTCCAGTTTGACTTCAAACACAACTCCAACTCAAATGCTTTCTTGTTTTTGCAAATCGATGCAATCACACTGCAAGTCAAAACCAAAAGAGGGGGCGCTATTAGAGTAAAAAGCAGGCTAAATAAGGCTCTGTATCCTTTTGGGTTTAAGGAAAGATACCAGCAGTGGTTTAGAATCAACATTTCCTGGCATGAATGGCAGCAAAAAAAGAAATTCATGCACTACACATTTTTTAATTTGGTAGTTCCTTTAAACTTAGTGTAAGAGAAAATGTTCCTGACAGTGTCATGGACAGGACTAGAGAGAAGCAATAGAAGAGAGATCTGTTTTCATAGAAGCATGATAGATCTAATTTAGAAGAAATGCTCTCATGATGATGGCAGAAAGTGGGAGCAATGGGGCTGGCTGTCCTCTCTGCTAGAGCCCTTGAGGGAATCCCCCCCTTGAGAACTGTCTATGTGCAAAGAAGTAACCAGCTGCTTATTTGGATTTTGCAGATCCAAGGTATGCCCTATGGGAACTGTTTACTTCTCAGCGATGGTCCCATCAATAACAGCACTGGAATCCCTTTCTTTTACGTGACACCAAAGGACAACACTGTGACAGACCTTCTGAAGAATCCCATGGCTTCTCTGACCCTTCCAGAGGCAGATGGAAATTTCTGCAGGTAACAGTTTTATCTGCCTCCTACCACCTTCAGTGAGAACAGAGACCTCAGAGCAGAATGCTGGGTCCCCACCTTCAATGTCTTGCATTTATTTTTGACTCTTACAATCAGCTACATTGGTTGGGGGTTTTTTGGATTTTTTTTCCCAGTAAATTCCCCTGGTAAAGCATAGTAGAGAAAAGAAGAGGTGTCACTGAAGTATATTGTAGCATCAACAGCTGGAGTGGCTTTCAGCTTGAACAATGACATACCTAAATTTTAATCTCTTCTTGGACGTGCCTACGTAAAATCTAGGTGTTCAAGATCCTATAATAGTCTATAGTTATCTAGCCAATAAAATACACAGAGTTTTAGAGGCTATCCAATTCACATCTTTGCTCTGCTGAAAACTCTGGTGGCCCTGCTAAATGCCTTGACAGGGCTCCAGCTCTCTGGGTTCTGTAAGAGGATCTCAGGCTCTATGACACTCTGTCTGATTTCCACCCCTTCAGAGAATATGATGGAATGTGATATCTTTGCAATTTCTTTACACCTTGTATATCACGAACAGTCAGTAAATGACCCCCCAAATAGAGAAATCCACATCTGAGGTTTAGCAGTCTACATCCAATCCCCAGTGCTTCTCTCCAGAGACAGCAGTGAGTTGACTTCTTCTTAATCATATTGTAGAATCTTAGATGGCCTGTGATAGTGGTCACAGGGGTTTTTGAAGGTAGAGACGAGAATGTTGACTCCATGTTCAGAAGGCTTGATTTATTATTTTATGATATATGTATTACATTATAACTCTACCAAAAAGAAAAAGAGGGAAAGATTTCCTCAGAAGCTAGCTAACCTAAGAATAGAAAAGAATGAATAACAAAGATCTGTGTCTTGGACAGAGAGAGAGAGCCAGCTCTGCCATGAGTGGTCACTAAATCAAAACATCCACACGAGACCAATCACGGACCCACCTGTTGCATTCCACAGCAGCAGATAACCATTGTTTACATTTTGTCTCTGAGGCCTCTTAGCTTCTCAGAAGGAAAATCCTAAAGAAAAGAATTTTCGCAAATTATGTCTGCGACAATGGCCCTTAAGGTTTCTTCCAACACAAGCCATTCTGTCATTCTAAGTCCAACCCCCAGCCACAGACAGGGACATTTTCCACTATGCCAGGTTGCTCAAAGCTGCATCCAGCCTGGCCTTGGGCACTTCCCAGGATGGAGCATCCACAGCTTCTCTGGACAACCTGCTCCAGGGTCCCATCACCCTCACAGCAAAGAATTATTTCCTAGCATCTAACCAAAACCTACTCACTCTCTTTTAGTTCAAATCCATTATCCCTACATGCCCTTGTGAGAAGTCCCTCCCCAGCTTCCTTGCAGGCTCCCTTTAGGTACTGGAAGTTTGCTTATAAGGTCTCCCTGGAGCCTTCTCCAGGCTGAACAACCCAAAATGCTCAGCCTGTGTTTGTAGGAGAGGTGCTCCAACCCTATGATCATCTTCATGGCCTCCTCTGGACTTGCTCTAACAGCTCCATTCCATTCTTTGCATATAATGAATAACTTCAGATCCCCAAAGCCTTACATGTATAAAATATATCTATGTAACCTCAAAGATGATTCAATTTCCCCCTCCATTTTTGTCTCCTTGAAAAAGACATATCTCTACCATATGTTTGTTTACAGTCAATCATGTGGCAAACTTGGCTGGGTCAGCCTTGTGTGAAGTGTTATTTACAAAGGCCTCTTTACGTGACGAGGTACATGACACCGAAATTGTGTCAGACAGAACTCTGTTACCAAAGCAGGTCTTAGCTGACATTCCAAGCAGAGAGAGAGAGAACTGGTAAGAACAGACTCCTTCAGAAAGAAATGGCATTAACAGTTTTTATTCCACCTTAAGGTCATCTTTGGGGAAGGAGAGGTTTTATCTTAAGACTAGATTTCCCCAGCTGAGGATTGCCTCATCCCACCTCTCAAGCCTGCTAGCTGAGAAGAGCCCTGGGAAAAGCAGGGAATGGCAAATATAAAACATTACTGTTACCCTTATCTGTATTTGTGTTCAGAATATATTGTTTTCTAGAGAGTTATATGGTGGAAAAATGAAATGTTTCTTAGTCTGAAGCAGTACAAGTAATTTCAGGCTGACATCCTGTTCACAAGGAATAGAAATCATGGCTTCCTCTTACAATGTCAAACACCTAATAGGAAACTTCTATCACCAATATTTGTTAAGATAATTCAGTCTTGAATGCTTGAGGAGGTCAGTGAAGTAGTGAAGTTAACACTGGAATGGTTCTGCTTATTGCTAAATATTTTCATTAAATATTTTGGATTAAAAATTTAGAAAATAAACATATCCGTTCTTTCACTGCAGGCTTAACCGCACTTATTCCTGCTTTCTGAGTTTTTTCATTCATTCTAATAGTTAACTTACTATCCAGACCAAGTGCTTAAAAATGTATTTTAAGTCCTACTACCTAATGCCCTATTTTCAGAGGCACAAGACTCAGAGCAGCTTCCATCGATGATGTGGTAATGCTGAGCACTTCTGAAAACCACACACCCACTTAGGCACTTAAGTGTGGCCTTTGATCCCAAACTTTAAACAGCCACTCTTGAAAGTCTTTGCCTCTTATGGCTTAGCAACATCACTGTCCTATTTACCTGTTTGGGAAGTGCCAATTCACAACACAAGAGAAATGCTGCATGATATTACAGAAATATGAAATCCGTATACACCGCAAACTTTGAGAATATTTATTCAATGTCTTTTTATTGCATCACTATTAATTTCCAAATCCCTACTCTTTTGATCAGTATGCCAGATATTTGCTGCTGCTTGTTTGCAGTCAGGGAAACCTGGATTCTGTCACCTGACTCTCCCGTCCCCTCTGCAGCCTAAGACTGGGCTCTCTGGTGAGAAGAGCTCTCTGGGCCAAGAAGCTAAACCTGGATTTCCAAAACAGCTTAGTCCAAACTAATTACCATTTGCCACATCCCTGCTCTCCCTCCCTACCACCAGTCATGTGCTACCCTGCCCCCCATCACTTCTGGGCTTTGCCTCCGCCTGAGCTGAAATGAAAATGTGAAGAAAGTTATCCTGACAGCAAGAATAAGTTTTTCTGCTGATCCTTCTTCTTTTCATCCTGCGGCCAGTACTGCTCCTGGCCTTGGAATCCCATCCCCACCCTCCAGCTGACCATATGGTGGGCCTATTTTTGCTCAGCAACCCAGTGGAAACCTCTTGTTTGTTTTTTTGGTTTTTTTTTTTTCCTGGATGAGATTTCTACTGTCTTAGTGACTTGAATCAGCTCCTCAAGAGCCAGAGAAGAAAAAAGGAGAGGGTAAAGGAAAAGAGAAGGTGGTGAAAAATAGAATATTCTCACTTCAGCAGGTAACCGTACTCCAAAAATTGAGCTTACTACTGAATTGAGTACACAGGTTCAGAGTTTGATCACTGTCCCATGCATTATTTATTTTACCTTCAGTTTCTTTTTCATTATTTCTGAAGTTCTCATCTGGAACAGATGTTGGCTTGCATTAGTGCAAAGACAAGCAATACAGACAATGAAAAGCTGTGTCTTTACATGAGCTACAGTTTTTGTTTTTGATGGTATGAAAATGTGAGCAAGCTTCGAGGCTGTCTCTCAGCAAGGAAGGGTATAGGCAATGGACTTTGCCTTTCTTCTCTCCCCTTCCCCTGTAACCAGGGTCAGAAATTAATGTATGTATTAAACTAGGAAACCATGAGTGATTTTTGCATGTGAAAGCAGCACCCTCTGAAATGGCAGCCCAGCACAGCACCCCACTGTCACCCCTCTCAAAGGGCCTCTGTGGGCAATGTGACACTGAAGAAAACAGCAAGGTGTCCAGGCCCTACTGCCAGTGGCCAGTCCCCAGCTTCAGTGTGCACTTGACCAGCTGAGACAGACAGGCTGTGCCATGCAAACAGCACACAGCAGCCTCAGTGCAGAGCTTTATGTGATGGTTCAAGTTTGGTGCAGCAAAAGTCTTCTTTACTAGCACTGTATGAGAGGCAAGACCTTTCCCTCTGTGAGGCTTCAGGTCCTGCTAGTATTAAAATGGTATCTGTGAGGTCTTCTTTGCAAAGGTAAGTGTCATTCTTGTCAGACATTCTCTTCAATTGCATCAATAATTGTTTTGGTTTCAAAATAATTGTGTAAAATAGCTAAATGAGTAATATTCTATGTGAGAAAGTTCATGTCCTTGCATACCGGCAATGCATTTGTATCTTGTTTTCATGTGGAACTTCATTAGAATTCCATTATTAATCTACTCTGAGTTGCAAGAATCAAAATAAATGTGAGAGCTGATCGGTGCCTGTAGCCAATGCTCCTGGGAGTATTTGGCACTCTCCTGAAAAATGCTTCTGACCTATTGCATGAAAAAAGAAATCTCTGGCCTTTAGAAAGAAAACATAGCTGACATTTCAATGTCTTCGTGTACCTAATGAGTTTCAAGTGACTTGTGTGCACCAATTTGATATTAAATTTATTTAGTAGCAAATTTCATTTGTTTTGTTTCAGAACAGACTCAAGTTCCAAACCCTGACAGTGAATATTTTCCCTCTCAAGGATGTGAGGAATACAGACTGGCCTTTATGGTGCTCCAGCCTCAATATTTAATCAGCTGGAGAGAAAATTTGAAAACCCTAAACTCATAAGAAAAATAACATTTAATATTGAAAGGAAGAGAGCTGTAATGCATCTGACTAGGCACTAATTGCAAGACATTTTAGTATTGCAGCTACAGTTTGGATTCCTCATCTCTGACCTAGAGATTTCCATTTCCCAGAGGGAGATGGGCTGCCCCTCTCTGAGAAGGCTCTGATGGCCAAGATAGAGACAGCATTTGTTAGTAACTACACAGCATTTTATCTGAAGGCTGATAAATGGATAATAGAAGCAAGAAAAATTAAATGGTTCAGGGCTATAAATAGACTGGTATGTCTATGCCACTGACAAGCTGAAAAGATTGAGTTCCATTCGTGCA